CAAAATCCGAAGATACACGGACAGGGTCGAAAGTTGCGATTGATTTTGGTCCCTCTATTCAGAAATATATGTATATCTTTTTCTTAAAGGGAAACAGAGAAGAAGACACGCCTGTATTTATTAAAGGGAATGATTAATTTACATTTGTACTTGGGTTTTTACACTGCATGTTTCTAAATAATTAGAGAAATCATATCTGATTTATTGCTATCGCCATGGATATTAAAAAAGATTAAATTTCAACATCGCCTTTGACATTTAAGGCAATATAATTATATGAACACAAGAACTTTCTTCATATATCTTAGGTAATGTCAGACATTGGTGTTTTTGTTCTGACAAGCGTACATTGTCTACATAACTGAACATTTTATATTGACCTTTCATGTGAAGAATAACACAGACAAAAAACTTTTACTGTTGAATGTTAAATACAAAAATCTTTTATTCATCAATAATTACATGACATGTTCAAACTTTAATGGTTTCCTAGCTTATATCATAATTACTGAATATTGTTCAAAAAGTAACAATTATTTTTTGAAAATCGTGATAGTTATACATGTTATATACATAGTTTTATTTCGATTTTCTTGATATTGATGAATATCGATCTTCAAGCTGGCTCGAAATTTAAGTAATCTTGATATCGACGAATATCGATCTTCGTGTTGAAATTTAACTCGTGTCGAAATTTAAGTTAATTTGATATTGACGAATATATTCGAGATGGATCGAAATTTAAATTAATCTGATATTAACGGATATCGATCTTCGTGTTGGATCGAAATTCAAACAAACTTGATATTGACGAATATCAATCTTCAAGCTGGCTCGAAATTCAAGTAAATTTGATATTGACGAATATCGATCTTCGGGTTGGATCGAAATTCAAGTAAATTTGATATTGACGAATATCGATCTTCGGGTTGGATCGAAATTCACGTGAATTTGATATTGACGAATATCGATCTTTGTGTTGGGTCGAAATTCAAGTAAACTTGATATTGACAAATATCGATCTTTGTGTTGATGGAAAATCAAGTAAACTGGATATTGACGAATATCGATCTTCGGGTTGGATCGAAATTCAAGTAAATTTGATATTGACGAATATCGATCTCCGAGTTTAATCGAAATTAAAGTAAATTTGATATTGACGAATATCGATCTATGAGTTGGTACGAAATTTAAGCAAACTTAATTTTGACGAATATCGATTTTAATTCGAGTTGGTTCGAAATTCAAAGCTTGCTCGAAGTTTGCTATTATAATGAATTTCGATTTCCGATGTCAGCGCTAACTTATCGTTAACTGGTTTTAAGACATTTTTTACAAGTTCCAAGGTTAAATTTTAATAATTGTATGAAAATGCCTATACTCTTATATTAGTTTTAAAAAAAGAAAAAGTCTTTGATAAGTAAATTAGATAATTTCAGTATGTACTGTACAGCATGCTTCAAAAAGATTAATGGAGATAGACAGATTGATTGCATGGTCAACAAGACACTTCTTGAACATAAATACGTACAATTACATGTATACATATAATATGTATTAATATGTTTTAACGTAAACAAAGACAAGGCAAGAACAAAGACGATAATGAAATATCACTGAACCTATTATAGATTATAAACCGTTGGACATATCAAAGGTGAATTTGTCACGGATGACCTTTTAATGATTTTATGAAACCATCAGTTGTAAATGAAGTAATTTCTTGATGGAAATTTCCATAATTTTCTAAACGGCTTCACATATTTATTTAGCAAGGGAACAATATTATTATAAATTAGTAGTATGAGTCTGTAGTTTTGTCTCTGGCGTCTGTGAAATCAGTTAACGTTAAATGCAAATGAATATACACCTTCCTTTAGCTTGGAAGAACTTGAAATTAAAAAGAAATAACAGCATAAGGTGTCTCAAATGGAAATGGAACTACCATGCACATTAGATAAGAATATTTGCTTATCAAGCTTGTCACTCAGTGAGATTACTCGCTTTTCAATTTGTGAATATTACTCACCAAACAGCAAACAATTTACTGACGTAAATAATCACTTATCAACAAGCACTACTCACTCCGTGAACACTTCTTACACTGTGAACTTTACTCCGTGTATGTACATTGCTCACTAGGTAGTTTTCACTTTGTTAATACGTACATTTGTATAACTTTTAAACAAAATTACCCTTGTGGCTGAGAGGTTGCCTGTCAGAATTGCAGCCAACTGCGTGATTCGTAAGAGGAGACCAAATGGGTTCGAATTATTGGAGTCTATGGATCTCTTAGCTCCAGCAGTTAAGGTGGTTTTGGCCCTTGGTGTTGCTTTGAAGTTTGTAACATCGGAGGTGAGCCAAAATCATCTTTTCTGTTTCGACGCCATATGACCTAAATTTTGTTGGTGTCAAAACTTTCAGGCAACAGTTTACTGCTACTGAAACGAACATGATTAACCATCACTGAGCATTACTCACTCCATGAACGTTAACTACTCTTAATATAAGTATAGTGGACACTCGATACTGATTAAAACTCACATCATTAACATAACTCATTGAGCCCTTTTCATAACATAACGATTATAAAATGAACAATCCTTACAATATAAAAAAGTACTCACAGTGAGAACTACTCACTGACGACTAATTAACCGTAAATTCTTCATTTAGTCATTGGAAATAGTTCGAGATTCGAGAGCATAAATTTCAGAAGTTTATGTCCGCTTTACATTAAGTAATCTATAATGGACATAAAAGTTCTTCCGCAAATAGTACAATACGCATATCATTTTAATGGGTGTCTACTAGTCTGGAATTCAGGCATTGGTAGTTTTTTTTTTATTTTGCTTATTCATAATAATTACATACGCGCTATTTCGTAGTCGTTGGTGCTTTTGATAGTATGTCGATTTGGAGAACAGAATCACATAAAAAATCGGCAGACTGGAACCCAGACTAGGTGTCAACATGAAACCTGGAATACTTGCCTTTCTTTCTAATGTGCAGTTGCAATACAGTGAGTATTGTTTCCGGATCACATTTTGTAAAACGTGTGTTACATGAATGATAGCCGTTATGATATTATTTTGACACATTGGTTACCTGAGCTACGTAGATATTTTGGTTTGTGGTTTGAGTCTTGATTGTATATATATTATTAGTTATAAAGATTTTTTGACAGGCTATATGACCCTATATAAACGGTTGTTTGTAAATATAACCCGAACCGCTAGGCGAGTGTTATATTGCAAACAGCCGTTTATATACGGCCATATAACCTGTCAGAAATATTTATAACGAATTTATAATACAGCAAGCATCATTTTTAGAGGAATAAAGCGCGATTTCTTCATAAATCGACAGCAGCCGTGTATATTATATGTTATTTTGGTTTTGGAGTGATATATGTGGATATATTACCTGTTAAGATTTTATATCACCCGAGCCGTTAGGCGAGGGTGATATTTTATCTTGACAGGTAATATATCCACATATATCACTCCAAAACCAAAATAATAATTTTATTACCCTTCCCCTGCCGAGTTTAGACGATTTTTTAAAAAATCATTGCTGTTTCAAATGAAACGTCGAAATAAGATTCCCTTTAGGATACCTCTTCGTCACAACATGACGTCACATAAATACATGACGTATTTTTCCCGTACCTTACGAAAGTAAACAATAGAAAAGGAGTAGTCTGTTGAACGCACTTTTTTGTAATTAATATCAAGCTTTCACAAGGTCATATTTGTTTTCGATACTGATGGTTATATGTATCATTACTCAACTTTGGTAAATATTTATCATTTGACAGTTAAAAAGTGCTTTTAAATCGGAATTTACACCGCGTAAAATCGAACCGTACGCGCATCACCTCAGCGCATATTGTTTACAACGTTGGGTACCAAACGGGGAAATTTAGTGTGTATATTACCCGTCTGGCTCGGTTATATCAATTTCTTTCGGGTGATCAATATCCAATCAAAAAGGCGGAAAAAATCTGGAAGGGTAATAAAAAACTTAATTGACATTGACAGTTTTAGAAATTGTGAATGGAGTTGTTTCGATAGAGACATATGATTGATGATATTAAAAGTTGTTCATAATCGACTTATTGGTTTAAAGCTGCACACTGTATAGGCCTATATAATATTGACTTATTTGATGCAAGTATGCTTATGAAATACTAAAAAAGTAATAAAGTTTGGTTTGGTATAAACGACTGACTTAATTATAATAAGTGTTATGGCCTTTTCTATGCAAATTGTATAAAAAAGAAGATTTCAATGGGGTGACCTTTGAAAATCTGCGTATTTATTATATTTGCATCTCGTAGACTATTATAATAATTTCTATAGGGCCTACTCTACGTACTGTTTCAGTACACGTGTCAGGTTTGATTTTGATTATACGGTAATTTTCTAGGCCTTACAGATGCTTTTTGTGATAAAAATAAGACAAATAACGTTTGAAGGATTTTATCATTTGTATTTATTTTAGTAAGCTAGTATATTGATGAAGATTTACAGATAATATATATGGCCCAAAGATAAATGGTCGTCAGTCAATATAAGCCGAGACTGATCGTGGTAAAATTTCAAATTTGATCACAATATTAACTATTTACTAAGCCTTTAATGTATTAAATAAATAATTCAGAACCATTTTTTTATCAATGCTGAAGCAGAGTTAGCACTGGTCATTGGTTCAATCCTAAAAAAAGCAATTTAAAATACGTCTTAATTCCTTTTTATCATGTTATAATAATTATGTTTTCATAAGAAATTTTAAATTAAGACATAGATCTATTAGCACTAAGCAGATTTATATTTTTACTGAAATGAGTGAACACGGAGTAGCAATACTTATATTCAAGGATTTATAGTACATGTAATATAAATCCGTGATATATTAAAAAATACATGGTAAACCCGCAAATGACCACAGGAAAACAACACAATTTGTTCGATTAAATCAAAAATTAATAGTTTAACAATCAAGCGCACCATTGCCCAAAAAGAAAATAAAAAAGTCAATTTTTCTATCTTATTGTATGTATTTATCGATAGGTGCAAAAGAACCTTTGATATAGCATCAATTTATAAAAGTCTACATTTGCTCTGTAAGTGTTTTTGCCAAATTCAAATGTATAATACTATTGCACGTTAATGATTGTCTTGCAAAATTATTAACTTGTTTACATCGCGAAAACTGGTAACTGTCAAAATCTGGACATTATATAGACTAGTTTAGTGTCAGTGAACAGACTTAAGATTTGACTTTGTTATTTTATTCATTATTTGAACACCTATAAGTTATCAAAATATCTTTAGTTTTCAATGAAAATGAAAATATTTAATGTCAAAGTACCTGTACCCAAAGGGAACCGACACAGTGTTGGAATAGTGTAAAAAAAGTAATTCTAGAAAAAATATATAGTTTATAGATAATATATATTATATATAAACTATATATTTTTTCTATAATTACTTTTTAGCTCGACTATTCGATAAGAATAAGTAGAGCTATTGTAGTCACCCGAGTGTCGGCGTAACCACTTATGTTAAAGTTTTTGTAATAGTTCAAATATTTTCAAAGTCCATTGACATATGGCTTTGAAACTTTGCACACTTGTTCACCATCATGACCCCAACCTGTAGACAGGAGGAGGTAACTCTATCAAGCATTTTGACAGAATTATGCCCCTTTTTCGACTTAGAATTTACGTTAAAGTTTTTGTAATAGTTCAAATATTTTCAAAGTCCATTGACATATGGCTTTGAAACTTTGCACACTTGTTCACCATCATGACCCCAACCTGTAGACAGGAGGAGGTAACTTTATCAAGCATTTTTTTTTACTATCAAGCACTAAGAATAGTCGAGCGTTGCTGTCCTACCGACAGCTCTTGTTTACACTATCCCAACACTGTGCCGGGTCCCTTTGCCTGTACCTAGGAAAAAGTCTGATTGCATTGTTCTTATTATTTTTGTAAGAGTGCCCCAACTGAACAGCACCAGTCTTATCAAATGCATAATTCTGAGTTAAAAGTATTCAAAGATTTCTATGGCTTATTTTAGGTAAAAATGGCAAGTACGGAGAAGTTAACAGATGCTGAACTGCTTGGTCTAATCAGTCAGACAACAGGAGGGATACAAAACCAGGGAAGTCAACATATCACTACGGACCTGGAGAAAGTGCATGAAAGTACCTGTAGTAATGTGGAAAATCATGAGAATTCCTCTCCTCTTTCACTGGAAACCAAAGTGTCCTCTGTACTTGGGGGAACATTCATACATTCAGATAGCTCACAATCTGATATAATATTAGCAGCCAATGATTTAAATACGGAAAAACCCGATTCAAACTTATTTGCTTCAACAACACAGTCTGAATCTGACATTTCATCATCAAATGCATTTACAGTTCAGACAGCAAACCAGTCTGATTCAAACATTGTACATCCAACAGTTACACAGTCTGTATCACTATCATCTGAATCATCACTTGTAAATTCAATGTCACAGTCTGATGTAAAATTACATATAAAAGATGATATGCCATCTAATGTGAAATCATCTTCAATGTCTAATCCGAAGTCATCTGTCATAAAGTCATCATCATCTAATACAGAATCATCATCATCTGTTAAAATATCATCAACATGTGAATTAAAATCATCATCATCATCTAAAATAGAGTTGGAACCAGAGTCACCTTCAATAGCACAGCATGAAATTCCATCCACGCCGTGTCCACAGTTAGATACGTGCTTGAACAATGTCAGGAAAACCATGGATAAAAAATCAGACTGTACCAATCTGTCGAAAGAAGAGGCCATCAAACTAGTTCATGAATGCAGAACTGAGTTAGAAGCTACTAAGAAGAAATTGCACAGGAGTGAACGGCAGCTGACTAAGGCAAATGATTATAACGAGGTTTTAAGGAGTATGGTACTTAACTTTATATATACTTGACATTAGATATAACCACTTGACATAATATTAAATTATCTTCATATAATTTTCAATTAGATATAACCACTGTCTTTAAATAGTTTGCCATTTATTTAACAGAGTTTTCTACATGTATTTGAAAGTTTTGATAAAAAGTGATTTTCTTTTAACACTCTTTTAACTTTTAAAGTTATTAATAGACAGTAACTCTTAAATGATGGGCTACTTATGGGAAACACTATTTTAAGGGCAAAAAGTCCCCATAAGCAGGGCTCATCCGGAAGGGCGATTCAGGCGAAAACTTCGCCGTGTATATTTCCATTTCGCTCTCACAATTGATCAAAGAGAAGTCAACATCGCCGATAAAATCTTAATTCCCAAAGAATAATTACTTGGCGATGTAAAGAGCAGAGATTGTATACGCCCATATGACAACTGCTAATTATCATTATCCAATCAGAGCGTCGCTTTATACTACCCTTCTACCTGTATGCAAAGCGATAGACCGCCTACTCTAGACAGTAAATAATGTGAGCATCGGCCCGAAACGGGTAAAATTGTGTGACAGTTTTGCGAGTTTAATACGGGATTTGGCGATAATTATAGATTGTTTTTTCCCGATCATCTAAACACATGCAAATCTTCCCTATTTGATATACACGCGGTGTTTAACCCGAGTAAAGGCGATCTGCAATGGGTTTTTCACGGCTATCACAAAACTGTTAGTCAATTAAAAATAATCAATTTCATTAATGATCAGCGACCGGATTAAAAACTTAATCATAGTTTTGAATGATTTCAGTCTGTTAACATAAATTAGTTAACATAAATTAAAAAATTGTTATGTCGCTCACGTCATGGCTACAGGGCGAAATGCCCAAACCTAGAAGTAAAAGAAAGTTACTGATTCTGACGCAAAAATTTAAGGAAGCCAATTCGCAAAAATCTTACGATTGGTATGTTGAAGACAGTGAGAGTGTTTGGCATTGTTATCTTTGTAGAAATGCCAAATTTGACACAGCTTACGCACGTGGGCACGACATCCCGGAAAAACTACGAATCATGATCGGCATGCTACATATCAATCGTATATCATGTGAACATGTATATAACGGAAAGAAGTGTTCTTATTGTTTCAATATATATATTTGTTTTTATGTCATAAATATGACGCTCAGATTAAGATGTTTGAAAATTGTTTTATAAGCATAACTATATGTACATAAATATGACATTACAACATGCAAGATCATATAAGAATTTTCTGTAATCAGAACAGAATAGGCAGATTTTGTTTGAAACTTTATCTTCTATTAAAAGTGAGGAAAGTAAAAATATGAAATTAATTTATTCATCAAATTTTTTTTACACATTATTATCAATAAATCTACATGAAAATATATAAACAAATATGTAGAGAAAGCTTATAAATTAGCTGATAAATAGTTTAATTGTGTTTATATTATAGTTAAGGATGTATAGCCATGCATGTTAATGCATACACATTGGGCTGTTTCCCTTCTCCCTATTTTTCGCGAGGAAGTCACTTCTCCCTAAAATTTCCCCCCAGGATGAGCCCTGCATAAGGTCTAGTTTATAGGAGGATACTTCTGAATTGGTTCATTAAACAATAAAATTTAGTGATCACATGTTTATTTTACAGGTTGAGAAACTAAGTAGTGAAATTCACCGGGTGAAAACTGTACAAACATGCAGTGTACATGTACAGGTAGATAAGGAGGACTTTCTGAATTATACCACAGGTGAATTTTGTGATGAGGAAATAGAAAAAATAAATCTGACTATTATCATAGTAACTGGTGATGTAGATAATTCATGACAAGTTTGAAATATGTATGATTTAGTTAAGACACGTCAAGTATATTTTTTTGGTTAAAAAAACAGGTTAGTGTTTGTTAGTAAGTATATACATGAAATGAAATCTTGTGGCACAATGACAGAATTAATTGAATTCATGCTGACTTAATCAAGGCTCCCATAAGTGGGAGTTTGGGAGTAATTTACCCTTTGATTTTGGGTTGTGACTTCCAAAATGTAATGCTTTTTCTTCTTTACCTATATAATGTGACGTCCAATGTCGGACAATTTGCACTCTCTGACTTTAAGTTTGGAACTTAATGGAAGCCCCTACTATTTAGACAAGTTGTAGACATTATGTTTTGTATCTTTACACAGTATGATGCTCTTTTTGGAAGAATTTGAAAAATGGAACAATTTCATCGGACAAAATATAATTCTAACCAGTTATTATGTATGTTTTGTATGTATGTTAAGTTTATTTATAACAGATATTTTTATCATGTCAAATGAATAACTGCTTTTTTTTAAAGAGTGGATTGTTTTCACTGTTAGTGAGAAAAAATTAGATTTCCAGGCCCTGACTCTTAAATATTTAATGTTACACAACAGGAGTTGACACTATGCCAAAATGGAATGCCGATGATGAGTCAATGAAAATGTCTGTCGAGACAAGTGAGACACCTGATGTAGCTATAGTCACTCCTGAGATACCTTCTACACTGCAGGTACTTTGTATGTTACTTTTAAGCCAGAAAGTGTTGTAGATTTAGAATTATAGTAAATTAACTTGTATTGAAGGTACCATATTTGCTTGAAATGTTTGAATGTATTAAGAGCATTAAGTATTCCGAGATTCAATTGGCTTGCTGGGATTGTGGGTGTTACAAATGCTTAGTTACCATGGTGATGCTGTATTTCTTATACAAAGTGTCTGTTACTGTAACTCCAACATTAGTTTATTCATCAGGGCTGGCAAAATCAATTGTCCGTATTGCCCAGGTTGTCCAACAGCCTGTACAGACAAGTGAAGATTTTCAAGAATTAACTATGTAAATATCATACGGACAAAATGAAAAATGCTTCACTTAAAAACGAACAAGTATGTCAAAATCAGATTTTGCCAGCCCTGTTCATGTTAAGATGTTGTTTTTTATTTACATAGAAAAATGATAGAACGTTTGTTAATCAGTCATTTTATGAATCTGATAATTACTGTTACTTCACTGTAATTATCTTATAAATTCAGTCTTTTTAAAGAGAGAATCTAACACGAAATGGTTTTGCTTTGTTGTATTAGCAGGCAGGCTCAGAGATGGACGCTATCTCTATAGCTGACAGTATAAAACAGGCAGCAGAGGCTGTGGTACAACAACAACAGGCCAACATGCTGCAGGATCAAGGTTATGTGTATGACGATCATTCGGGCCTCTATTACCACCCAGCCACTGGTTATTACTATGATCAAGTTAGTATAAAATCTTAATACACTTTCAAGATTTTCAGATGAATGTCCTTTTTTTTCTGGTATGAATATGCAATATTGAATAGGCCCAGTAAACTGTTTTTCTTTCTTAGTTCAAACAACATACTATCATTTTGACAATTTTATAGAAGATTGGAGGTTGAAATACATTATCTTTCATCTTGACATAATGTCACATTACTAAGCTGGAGTATTCCAAATATGGAAGCTGGACAGGTCCAATTAATGAATTATTTAAAGGGTTAAACTCACAAAATATAAGTACATGACAAGTTTATTTTAAAAGAATTCAGCAGATAAAGATAGGGTTAGAAAGAGAGACATCTTTGAAATCAATCTGGCTAGGAACTTTGGAAGTTTTAGACAAGGAAGCATCCAGCTAGCTTACAAATGTCAGGAATTCTACTCAGGTGCACAAAGGGGTCAGCTGAAGTCTTCCACCTTTATTGCTGGAAGTTGCGACATAAAACCCAAAAAGAACATAAACATCATATCAAAGCTCTTTCTTAATACAATGCATTTCTTAAGATATAATGAATATAATATTAATCTGGTCAGAAATAATATTTTAAATAAAATAAGTATTTCATTCAAGTTTTATCTTTACCTCTATTTACAGCACAAGTCATTATTCTATGATCCTAAGACGGGCATCTACTATTATTATGACTATGACACTGGTGAATACCTATTTCATTCTCAGATAGAGATTCCTACACAAAGTCAGGTATGATATTTGGTTATTATCTTTCCTAGGACTTGATATTTATATGATTTTGAATTAAATCTATACACCATTTCTTGCTTCGTGGATTTTTTTCATTATGTCAGGAGTGTTCGTGGACGAGTGGTTAAGTTCGTTGATTTCAAACCACTTGCCCCTCACCACTGTGGGTTCAAATCTTGACGGGGACTTTGGATTTTTTTCATCTGAGGAAGCTATCCAGCTAGTTCTACTCAGGGGCGCGTTCCTTTCTAATGGGCACCTGAGGTCTTCCTCCACCAGTCAAGCTGGAACGTTGCCATATGACCTATACTGTTTCAGTGTGATGTAAAATCCAATAAAACAAACAAACAAACAAAATCATTATGTTATGTCAAATAAAACCTCAGTGGAGTTAATTTAAAAGTGAAAACAACAAAAGTAACAAAAAATTAATAAAACTAATAGTATATGACTGTAATGCTGAATTGTTAGTTTTGACTGAGAGCTATCAAAATTCTGCAAATTTATGTTTTAAGACAACAGAACAGCCAAACTTCATGGATCATGATCAGTCTAAGAAAAACCTTTCCAAAGTTAGAAAATCTAGAAATACAGCAAGAAAGAAAAGGGACAATGAGAGGCATTCAGCTGATGACAAAGTAAGTTCAACTCGAAACATAACAATTTATTAGGAAACTTATAATGTCTAATATTATAAAGAATTAATGAAAAGATAAAATAATTTTGACCGAGTGAAGTGGAAAAATGGTTTGAATTTTTTTTAAAGTTTGCCATCACAAACTTGTTTAAAACTTTAAAGATGAAGTTTAGAAATTGAACTGTTACATATTTAACTTTTACCATGCTAAATGTTATAACTGGAACTGTCCATATATTAATATGGACAAAACCAGTCATCAACTTAACTTAAAGGGTAAATGTTAAAGGCCCATTATGCCTCACAAATCCATATTTTTTAGCTCGACTATTCGATAAGAATAAGTAGAGCTATTGTAGTCACCCGAGCGTCGGCATAACCACTTATGTTAAAGTTTTTGTAATACCTCAAATATTTTCAAAGTCCATTGACATATGGCTTTGAAACTTTGCACACTTGTTCACCATCATGACCCCAACATGTAGACACGAGGAGATAACTGTATCAAGCATTTTGACAGAATTATGCCCCTTTTTCGACTTAGAATTTACGTTAAAGTTTTTGTAATACCTCAAATATTTTCAAAGTCCATTGACATATAGCTTTGAAACTTTGCACACTTGTTCACCATCATTACCCCAACCTGTAAACAGGAGGAGGTAACTGTATCAAGCATTTTGACAGAATTATGCCCCTTTTTGACTTAGAATTTACGTTAAAGTTTTTGTAATACCTCAAATATTTTCAAAGTCCATTGACATATGGCTTTGAAACTTTGCACACTTGTTCACCATCATTACCCCAACCTGTAAACAGGAGGAGATAACTGTATCAAGCATTTTGACAGAATTATGCCCCTTTTTCGACTTAGAATTTACGTTAAAGTTTTTGTAATACCTCAAATATTTTCAAAGTCCATTGACATATGGCTTTGAAACTTTGCACACTTGTTCACCATCATTACCCCAACCTGTAAACAGGAGGAGGTAACTGTATCAAGCATTTTGACAGAATTATGCCCCTTTTTTTTACTTAGAATTTACGTTAAAGTTTTTGTAATAGTTCAAATATTTTCAAAGTCCATTGACATATGGCTTTGAAACTTTGCACACTTGTTCACCATCATTACCCCAACCTGTAAACAGGAGGAGGTAACTGTATCAAGCATTTTGACAGAATTATGCCCCTTTTTGACTTAGAATTTACGTTAAAGTTTTTGTAATACCTCAAATATTTTCAAAGTCCATTGACATATGGCTTTTATGGCTTTGAAACTTTGCACACTTGTTCACCATCATTACCCCAACCTGTAAACAGGAGGAGGTAACTGTTTCAAGCATTTTGACAGAATTATGCCCCTTTTTGACTTAGAATTTACGTTAAAGTTTTTGTAATACCTCAAATATTTTCAAAGTCCATTGACATATGGCTTTGAAACTTTTGCACACTTGTTCACCATCATTACCCCAACCTGTAAACAGGAGGAGGTAACTGTATCAAGCATTTATTTTTACTATCAAGCACTAAGAATAGTTGAGCGTTGCTGTCCTACGGACAGCTCTTGTTTTAATTCTTTATAAATGTGAAAACCATGTGTTTAAAAATGTTTATTAATTTATTTAGAGCTAGTTTGATGTTAAAACAACTGAGGAAAGTACCACAAAATGTGCAAGGTTGAATAATGTAAACAAAGTAGTATTTTGACTTTCATACAAAATACTAATTTACTATATTTTTACTAATTGACACATAGCAAAGAAAGTAAACGGTAGTTCATCTTTATGGCAAATGTTTTTTTAGAAACTGTAACAAGATACCAATAAATAAAAGTTTTTGAAAAATGAAACTGATAGCATTTCTGAGGCATAATGGGCCTTTAAGATATTGAATGAATAGCAAACAGTGCTGTCATGATCAGATGGCACATATATGCTAACTGATCTTCAGGTCTGCACTGGATGCATGGGTAAAATGAGTTGCCACCAGTAGGCTAAACGTTATATCATATAAATAATAAGATAACATAATAAATGCTAATTTCATTGTCAAGGAGAAAAATGACAGAAGTGTAAATTTTTAACACATTGTATAGTTATGAATATCATCAAAAAATCATAAAACTTTTGAAATCATTAAAGTGCGTATACATTTATATAGAAATAAAATATTGTCCATGCCTATTTTATATGGATAAACATGGAATCAGAAAATTACAACAAAAAAAAAAGAATTCATTGTATGGGAAAGCAGTATTTGTTGCATATACATTGTAGTGAAATGAAAACAATTATTTTATGCCCATAGTCTGTTCCTTACATTGAGTAACAAAACAGTGGAATGTGTGGTATAATACAAATGACTAGATTTTAAAAAAGTATGCAATAAGCATTGTGCTATAAAAAGTATCTTTATTTAACTATGTCGTTACCATGCAAATATTTTATTGAATTAGCTTTAATAAAATGATTTCAAATTTTCTCTTGAAAGTAAGCAAATCAATTATGTTATTGAATAGAAGTTTTCAAAATTAAATAAATATCAGCCTTTATTTTCTCTTTTTCTTTTCTTCTGTCTATTCTCAGTGCAACAGAATGGATGATGGAGTGATGTGTCAAGTTTTGTTGGGATTGGAAGACTTGAAGATTTCACCGTATGCGAGAAATGCTCGGAAGCATGCCCTAGGTAACTATAATCAGCAGAGCGACCTTGACCTAGATTCATTTTATTTCAGGTGTTCAAAAACCGGAAAGAGAGAAGACAAGCAGAGAAAGAAAATCAGTTGAGAAATAGGTCACAGCATAGAAGAGACTCATATCACGAAAAAAGGGAAAGAAAAAGAAAATATACAGATATTGTTGACAGTGGTGAAAGTGGTAATGACAGACGCCGAAGGTCAGGTGAAGAAGGTTATAGGTCAGAGAGGAAGAGTAAGAGAGGTTATAGGTCATATGATAGAAATGAAAGAAGGGGCAAGCGGAGAAGTAGAAGTAGGTCTAAACGAAGACATGGCAAAAGGGAGTATGGAAAAGAGTTGAAGGAGATGCATAGTGATGAAAATGATGTTAAGGTGAGAGAAAATGATCATGGTGAGAGAACAAAAGTTAAGAAAAGAAATGAAAGGAAAAAACATACAGAGCCATCTGCCAAAATGACAAAGTCCAAGACTTTACAATCAAAAGACAGTAAGTTATCCGGTAAGGATGAAGTTGATGACGGTGATGAGGATCTTACAACAAATAGTGCTGAAGAGTTTGATCTTGACTCTGAAAATGAGTTTATTGTTATAGATGATGCAGATGAGGTTATTGAGATAGATGGTGAAGAACATGTTGATGATGATAATATGAATGATGCAAACGAATCTGATAATTTAAAAGATACTGCAGTAATCAATAATTTCAAGGATGACCATCAGTTAAACAGTATGGAAAGTAATTCAAGAAAGTCACATGAAAAGAAATCTGAAAGGAGGCATCATCATAGAGAAAGGCGTAGTGAAAGTAGTAGAAGTTATCGTAGTCATAGTGATGGTAGTGAGAATGAAGCTGAATCAGGGGAGCTTACTGACTCAGATATTGAACAGTCAAGTGAGAGTTACAGTTCTTACTACAGTGATACTGATGAAGATATGTATGAAGATATGGATGGGAATGAAAGCTATGAAGAAGAACAAGGTTTGACTGCTGTACTGTAGATATGTATTTATTATATTCACTTTTTTATCCCATAAATTAAAAAAAATATCTAAAAAGAGGAGAAAATATTTCAAGTTTAAAAAAATGACTCAATTGAAAGAGGTAAGTTTCATATGTATTGTAAATAACAATAGCACTAGTTGATTAAATTGTAAATAATTTCATATTTTAAACAACTTTATTAATTTTGTTATGAAGTTTTGAATACCAAGAACAAGCAATTGTTCAAGCTTGAAATAATGTACCACCAGATATATCCATAAACAAAACTGGAAAGTTTCCATATTGCATTTATTATGTCTCCCCCACCTCGGGGGGAGACATATTGTTTTTGCCCTGTCCGTCAGTCCGTCCGTCCGTCCGTCCGTCCGTCAGTCCGTCAGTCCGTCCGTCCATTCTTCGTTTCCGGACGATAACTAGAGTTCCTTTTGACCTACAGCCCTCAAACTTCATAGGATGATTGGTCTTATAGAGCTGATGATCCCTATTGTTTTTGGGGTCAGTAGGTCAAAGGTCAAGGTCACAGTGACCGTTGGTCAATTTCTCGTTTCCGGATGATAACTAGAGTTCCTTTTGACCTAAAGCCCTCAAACTTCATAGGATGATTGGTCTTATAGAGCAGATGATCCCTATTGTTTTTTGGGGTCAGTAGGTCAAAGGTCAAGGTCACAGTGACCGTTGGTCAATTTCTCGTTTCCGGATGATAACTAGAGTTCCTTTTGACCTACAGCCCTCAAACTTCATAGGATGATTGGTCTTATAGAGCTGATGATCCTATTGTTTTTGGGGTCAGTAGGTCAAAAGGTCAAGGTCACACTGACCGTTGGTCAATTTCTCGTTTCCGGATGATAACTAAAGTTCCTTTAGACCTACAGACCTCAAACTTCATAGGATGATTGGGCTTTATTGAGCAGATGATCCCTATTGTTTTTGGGGTCAGTAGTTCAAAGGTCAAGGTCACAGTGACCGTTGGTCAATTTCTCGGTTTCCGGATGATAACTAGAGTTCCTTTTGACCTACAGCCCTCAAACTTCATAGGATGATTGGTCTTATAGAGCAGATGATCCCTATTGTTTTTGGGGTCAAAGGTCAAGGTCAAGGTCACAGTGACCGTTGGTCAATTTCTCGTTTCCGGATGATAACTAGAGTTCCTTTTGACCTACAGCCCTCAAACTTCATAGGATGATTGGTCTTATAGAGCAGATGATCCCTATTGTTTTTGGGGTCAAAGGTCAAGGTCACAGTGCAGTGGGGGAGACATGCGCTTTTTTACAAAAGCATCCTCTAGTTATTTTCTTTTATAAGATTATTTTGTAAAAATCAAAATTATCATATGTAGCTAGATATACCTGTAGAAACACAAGAGAAGACAACTTTTGCTGATTTTTGACTTTCATATGTTTTAGTTTATTTAGAATTGATTTTAGTTATTGTAGAAAGCCAAGTCTCATTTTGTAATTTTTCCATGGAACCATCGATTGTAAAATTACCTGCTCCATGAAACAATAGCTTCCAACTGACAGGGTTTGAACCCAGTCAGCCATCAATCGTTAGATTACTAGTCTGATGCATTAACCACTCTACCACTGGTTATGTATGTGCATGCTTTAGCTAGTTTTAGCTAGTAACAGAACAAGGCTATTCAAAAAGTTGTCATAAATAAATGTAGAAATAAATAAATATATATTTTTTCAGAGGTGGCAGGAAGTTATCCCCCTTGTATAAGAATGATGGTCTTGGAGTCGGATTATCTCCCTGTAGGAACATTGCACATTGTAACATGTACTGGAGCAAAACTTGGCAGAGAAAACTGTGATATTTGTATACCAGACCTTAATGTTAGCAAGGTAAAGATTTTACTTTGGCCAAAAGATTAAGACATTGATCAGTTCTGCTTGGATGAAAGTTTTCAAGGAATATTTCAGAATTCAGGACAGTCCAACATCTTAAAATTTTCTTTTTTGTAATATATAAAAAAATGATATATTGTATCTATATTTCCTTATTTGAAAAGTAGTTAAATATTTGCAGTTGACAGTTGTGTTTAACTGATATAAGTATCAACTACACCCTTTATTATTTATTTGTTCTTAATAGATGTAAATACTTAACATCAGGTTTGGAAGAAATCAGTTGTTGCTTAGCTTGATATGGAAGATATATCTATTTATCACATTACGCTTTTGCGACCCTTGGAAATGGTATTACATGGCCCTTATACAAACAGAGTATAAAAACGTGCTAATTATAAGTATTACACTATAGGCATGACAATGAGAAAATGATTCTTTTTCACTTAAAACAGTCTTTATTTTGGGTATGTGATAAATAGAGTATTATATTCGTATAGGTTCATTACTGAATTTATTGAACTTGTTGAATAAAATATTAAATTCAGTATTGAACTTACACTCATTCAATATCCTGTATATATAAGGTATACTGTTATTTCAGGTACATGCTGAGATTCAGTACAATGAAGGTGCTAGTCAATATGAGATATATGATCACGCTAGTCAGAATGGAACTTTTCTCAATGATCAAAGATTATCACCTGTAAGTTGTAATAAAAAGTCTTTTATATTGTGGTTTTGTAGTTTAATTTTGTTGCCTCTAAAAAAGAAAACAGTATCCCTCCAGAACGTCCAAAACAACAAATTGGAAATGTTTTAAGCTTGGTTTGATTGTGCCTTTTAATGGGTCCAAGTGACTGTTCATGCCCCCTATCACTGGCTCAAGCAGAAATCAATATTTAATATGAAATTTTGTACATTTAGAAACGTTCTCAGATGCCGGTTGTCATTGAATGTTCAATATGACACATTTGCCATTCTTTGCTGTTTTTTTGTCCTAAGATTGCTTTTTGGTACCGTTTATAGTATGTCGTATTCCTTCTGAAAACAGATGTGGTTTACATATGCAATAAAAAGAATCAAACACGCTGTCAGTACATACAGAATATTAGCTTCAGTAAACGTTTTTGTGTCTTGGGGCTAATATTGTCGTCCAGAAATGTAAGATTTATACTATAAATTCTTCCAATAAAGTTTAGAATGAATATTCGTAATATCGGTAAATTTTCTGATTATAGACAATAATTGTGCATAGCTGTATTATGTCATAAATAAGTCACCCTCGCGTCTCTCAGGATATTATCTCCGTGATACTTTAATGGAAATTGGCAGGCCTTTTACAATGTTAAAATTACCCTGATAGATATAGTCTACCAAACAGTAAGTTCTTATCTATAAATCTCACATAAAGTTTGTTGATATAGAAAACATCAGATTTATAGGAATGACGTTCTACTATATTAAAATAGCATTCTAACAGCAAATTTTTAATTATTGATTAACGCCTTTAACAGATCTGAGTGAAGATTTGTTTTAAGTCAGATACATGTTAAGCCTACCAATATTCTAGTACTACTTCTGTAAAACATGTCCAGTTGAACCATGTACGTTATTGCAAGCATAAAGCAAGCAGCCACAGAATGGTACTTTTATTTTCGATTTTACCTTATTAAACTTAATCAACTAAATGAAAAAAAATTGTAGGCACACGGAAACTTTTTAAGGTCATATTGCGCCTTTACATCTGATCTGGTGGAGAAAAAACTTTGCATTATTACAGGGACAGGTAGGCTTCTGAATAGAACCTACAATATTCCTTAAGCTAGCTGGATAGCTTACTGACCTAAAAGAATCCAAAGTCCCTGTCACGATTCAAACAAGGGGCAAGGTCTGTCCTTTTCATAGTGTATTTTAACTCTTTCCCATTGTCTTTGAATAATTTTAGTTATTTAATTTAAGTAATAAGTTGATTAATACTTTTAAAATATTTATTTCATTTTAATTCAGAAATCAAAGTTTTGTCCAAGGAGGAAAGACTACGCCAAAAGAAGCAAGAATTAAACCAAATCAAGAAAAGATATGGTCTAAAGGTATGGATACATCATTGTAACAGGAAAGATAATAGGGATGAAATTTCATATCTGAATCATTATCATAGTTTATTTGATAATTAATTGTTTGATTGAATTAAAAAAGAAATTTCCAGGAGTAGTGCATTTTTTAACAAAGGCAAGAGCACAGAGAATTTTCTCAAACTTTGCATGATTTAAGATAATCATAATTGAAACAAATATTGATGAAATTAAAACTTAGGGGTCACAGTCCAACTAAGTTGTCTGCCCATGAAAGTTTGCTTAATTCTGTTGTTGTTGTTGACAATGGGCATGATCATTAATTTTAGAACTCGGCATATGAGAACAATGTAGAAGTGTTCAATAATCCTAACTACACGGACAAAGCTGAAGAGAGAAGGAAAATTGTAGGTAGTGATGTACCAGGTCAGAAACAAGAGGCACCTGCCTCTGTACATAGGTAAATTATACATTGTTATACCTCATCTTTTGTACCCAATCAATGCTTCGTATTCGTACCATGGGATCTCTTCAGGATCCAGTATATCCTTATTAAATTGTTGAGTGTATAAGACATTGTCCATGCTCGACATCCATTCTAATTTTCTGTCTGTTCACTTTTTTAGCCAACTAGGATGTTTCTATGATCTTAAAAGGTTTGATCATACTGCACACTGTTTCTAAGGAGGAACAAGGTTATATTGCTTAACCATCACATTTTCATGTTATATATAATGGAAATTTTTTTCAGTCATCTTGTATTATGTATTTCTGGTATAATCCTCTATGCCTTTATACAGCTCTAGAATTTCACTATTTGATAAAAAGGTAAATAGTGCCCACTCAGGCAGTTATTGTACTTTTTTATCAGACCGCTACTGACACCTGAAAATATCGTTCTATTTAAAAGTTTGAATATTTTTGCGAAACTTCAATAATATATGTACATGTATAAGGAAGGTAGGTTAATTTAAGGTATAATATTGTACTTTATTATCGTTTCAGACCGATATCAACAGGCAATGTGGGTCATAAAATGTTACAAAAGATGGGCTGGAAGGAAGGTGATTCTCTTGGGAAGAATAATAAGGGTATTCAAGAGCCAGTAAGTTTTCATTTACTGAATAATTCTATTTACTTAAAGTTCCACACCTCTAGATTTGTATCAACTTTTTTCAAAATATAAAAACTATTCAAATTTATAAATATATTTGTAAAGTGTACAAAAAAAATGATTGTAAGCTTTTACTTTTCATGTATGTAGTTTTTTTCCTATAAGGTGATAAAGAAGGAGCTTGGAATATTAGCTCCAAATTTTTCTAAACAAGAGCACTGACATTTATTACACTTGTATAGATTCATGCTGACTAGAAGAAAAGCAGTGTTGAAGAACTTTAACTCTTTTAACTCTGTTAAGTCCCATTCTTTTTTATTATGCCCCTTTCTGCATTTCCCTTGATTTTTTTCCTGAATTAACTTGAAACTGAACATTTTGATAGATGATGACTAGGAGAAGTGCAGTGCATAATATTTTGCTCAGCATTGTTCAATATTAGATTATCTTTTTTATGAAATACTAGATAGCTAAGCTGTATGATTATGCGATCATAAAGAATCGTAATGTTTCTTTACTTTGAAGTATGATAATCTAGGATTCTGTACAGTCTAATTTGCTGTACCATACACCCACTTAGCTCTAGAGGGAGAGCATGAGATAAGTAATCCATAGGTGCCTGGTTTGAACCTGAGGGCGAGGCATAATTTCTCCATGACAGATAATCTGGGACATTGAATATAATGGTCATTTGTCTCTCACTGCTGATTGAGAATTCATGTGGGATAAATAGCTGGTAACTTGGCCAGAAATTGGTAATGACTGGTTAGTTATCCAGGAAAGCCTGTTAGATGGATTGACCACTGAGATAAGACCAAAAACATGACTGTGTTACATTAAGATCCAGAAAAACAGACAATTACATTCAGTCAACCAGTGCTTCTTTGATTATTTTCAACTGGAGTAGATATTCACTGAAATTGTTAAAAGATGGAAAAATACCTTAATGTTAAACACCTGTAAAAATAATGAAGTAAACCAGGTTTTGTGTGATATTAAAACAAACAGAGTATGTTATTGTAAATATTTCAGCATTGTTTCACTCAATCATGACATGTCATTAAGACAAACATTATAAACTTAGGAAGTGAAAAACAATGTTCCGTTTATCAATTTGTTGTTTACAGTGCAATATAGGATCTACATCAGAGTGTTTACTTTATTTATGAAAATGTTACATATTTTGCAATACGGTACACACATTATGATGGATATTATTTAAGCTAATAATGATGCAACGCTGCTGTAGTTTAATTGTCCACTATCTTTGAAATGAAAAACAAAATAGTTTGTTTGAGACATTAAGGGTCAAATGTTAAATGGCTAACTACATCAAGCCCATCTCTCTAAATGAAATTAATTTTCACTACTTATGATCCCTTCTTTTCTTAAAAGAAAGACAGCCTCCAAAACACGGTCAGATAGCCGAAGTTTATTATGTTTTGTGCAATAAGCTATGCACAAGAATGTTTAAATTCCATTTATTATTTACATCACAATAAAATTGGCTTATTCCATGAAATTTATGCATTTTATGAATGATTCCTTTTCATACACTGGGCCAGATTTTTATTTTAAAATACAAAATTTATATAGCTGTTGAATATCTGATTCTGACAGTTTAATAGATTTATCTAAATGCTGTTGCCAGTGTTGTTGGACACAAATAGTGATTATAGAATGTCACTGTTCCCTTTCCTGGTTCTGAAATGTATGCTAAATGTTATTATGTAAAAATGACCTTTTAAGTGCTCAAAACAGAAACAGTGTTGTATGTAATTGAGTTAAGCTGTCTAAAGGGCATGTTAGTTCTGTTGACAGGGCATGTTGGTTTTGTTGACAGGGCATGTTTGGTTAATCATTGGTAGTTTTCTGACCAGAACATGAAATAAGATTTATGTCATTCACACAATCTTTCAATAATCAGCTGTTAATGTTAATTTATTGATTTTAAAGTGCTTAACCCTAAGATCAGTAAAATAAAGGTTGAAACAATTAAACTTAAGATAAATATATTTATATCTTCAAGAACTATATAAATATCTGTCCAAGGCAGTAGAATGTAGAATATGTTATACAAATAATGACATTATTATCAATGCTTATTTTTTTTTGTAAATTGAAAGCAGCAACAAGAAAAAATGCAATGAAGAATGCAATGACATTCAATTTTTATGACATAGTGTAATTTGAAAACAAATATTATCAAAAGTCTAAGGTGATAAAAGTTTTAGATGGCAAAATTAATGATTTGATAAACTAGGTGCATAAAATATGTTAGTATTAAAAATTTTGAAAATCAAAATAATTTATTACTTTATAAACTGCATTGCTTTCTTTTCCAAACGCATATTACATAACAAAATGTTTGATTGAAAGCTTGTTACGTCCTTGCAGGGTTCCCATGCCTTATGGAGGTGACAACAAGACTTTTCCCCATCTTTTCACTTTTTGTTTTTTCGTCTAAATTTTGCATCTATTTTTATTATGAGAGCTTATTCAATCTATTACTTGTGTCATTAGCAGAATTTCATAAGGGCATAGAATTTAAATGGTAATGCGTTCATTGAGAAAATAGATTCAGTAATCAAAATTTAAAACCAGACACTCCTCTCTATCTATCCCTATCCCAGCATGCTTCTGTATGTGATTGAATTTATAAATACACAAATCAAGTGCTTTTGTACCAAATCACTTAAAGGATAAAGCTACATAAGGCTGTCTATAGTTTGAAGAAGATTTGTTTGCACTTTGATAGGTATTATTCCAAATGACCTAGGTAAATAAAAAAAGAAGATAATAACTGGATTGCAGAAGTGTCACTTCTATGCATACTAAAATTGAATGTTTTGAAAGGAAACAGTTTTTACCCCAATCATATATACATTTAATTTGTGTTTACATCAGCTTTTGTTTGGGATTGAAGGGGAAGTAGTGGTTGGCTTTATTGAATATTCCCTTTTATATTCCGTAATAGGGATATTGTAAATAGGTGCATCCCTGGCCGAGTGGTTACATCGTTGACGTCGAATCAGAGAAGCTGCGGGTTCGAATCCCGCCAGTGAATTTGGATCCTTTTATGTGACGAAGATACCCAGCAAGCTTATGGAACATTAGTGGTTCTACTTCACTAGTAAAGTTGGAAAGTCGTCATATGACCTTTACAGTGTTGATGCCACGTATAGCCCAATCCAAAAAGTTTTTAGGCCCTGTAGGCATTTGTATAAAAAATAAGTAACTTAGAAATTTATAAAAATGAAAATTTCATATAATTCTAGTATGTCTTTCTGTTTGGTTGTTTTAGATTTCTGTGACATTGAGAGCTAGTCAGAAGGCAGGACTTGGATCAGCTAGTGCCGGGGCTTTTACTGCCGATGATGCTAATACTGTTGACATGAGAAAAGCAAGTAGAAGACTACAAGCGCAACAAAGGTTCAAACAAATCGAAGGAAACAGTGAGCAAAAAAAACAAACGGTTACAAATAAGTCATGGACAAAGGGAGACACAGAGTTTACTTGACAATTTAAATACTGTATTCCCTTTAAGCTTTGTGTTCATATGAAAAGGAAGCATACATCATGGAGAAAGTAAAGAATTCTGGGGAGTTTTCTTAATGATGCACATGCAAAATGGTGGAACTGAGGAGGTGAAAAATGTGTGGCAAAGCCTTACTTTCCTCTGATTAAATGGTACATTTTGAAAATCCATTTGCGAAAATCCACAAAACGCTTGATAATGTGATTCATAATTACATCAAGAACATTAGGATACCTACCATATAATGTCATTTTCGATGTAACAGTCAACCAGAATTAAGTTGAGTTACAAACAAACTGTTTGACTAGTTGTAACAGGGAAATGCTGAAAATATTCAGTATAAACAGCAAATATATTGTGTTTTTGTTATGACTACGATTATGTTAGCTTTTTATGTGTTTAAATTATAAATATGGAAGCCAATTTCTTGTTGTTTTAAATGTAACCAATAAAGATGTGTGATGCGTAAGAGGTTCTGCATGTGACCCATTTGTTAAATGTTGAAAAAAATAAAATGGACTTTCTAAAGGAAGCGAAACATGGTAAAAATAAATATGTAGCAGGCTTTGCATTATCGAGTATGATCAGAGACCGGTATGTTATAATCAAAGGAGCTTATGTCCTCTCATACAAGCACCTGATTAAGCAGTACATGTATTCAACATTGATGATTTATTTATTTGAGACATCTGCAAGATTTCCTTTGCCAATGGTCTTACAATTTCTATAAGTTCGAAGACAGAAACTATGAATTCTTCATTAGAAGAAGCTAGCTTACAGAAGGCCTGTGTTCCTTTAGAACATATGACCTCTACAATGTCTATATGGTTTATAACCAACCAAACAAGAATATACAACACCAAGGACTTTGTTCTGTCAAAATCTTGTTTGTTTCAGAATTTACATCGCACATATTTAATTTTTTATCACATACAATAAATTGTGATGAAAAGTGTAACCTGACTTAATGGAAACTATGATTTGGCTATACACCTAATATCGCTGCTTAGTCCAACATATTAATTGTGAACTAAACTAAACTGTAACTTTAAAGTCCAAGGTAAAAGATGAAATTTAATCAGTTTTACTTACGATATGTGACCGAGGTATACCCAAGAATAAAGTGTCAGAAGGACAATTGGAAATAATTAACTGACTAGATATGATATGAAACACATTTAAATTAGATAAATGGTGATATTGGTGTACTTTGAGTTGCGTTATAACCAATCAAAATTGATTTTTGATATCAAGGAGGGATTTTCCAGAGACTTTAAATGTCGCCGTTGTAACTTATGCAATTCTGAATGCAAGAATCATTAAGTGTAAAGCCAATATTAGTAGCTAAACGTGTTATTTATAAAAAAATCATTGCATTGGAATGGCTTTTTATGCCAACGGGAGGGGGAGGTGGGGGGAGTTCATATTTTTTTCAGAATTTTATGATTATAGTCAGTAATAAAAATTATGACAGTATGATCAATTCATTAGGCTGATTTATGAATTTTCAAGGTAACAAATGCTTTCACTAACAGAAAATGTAAATGCAAGTTAACAGTTAGATCTTGTTCGAATAGACATTGAAAAAATCAAACGTATATTTTTTCATGTCACCACATAGATTATTATCAATTTGCAGCAAGAGTATATTAATGTCGTATTTCACGTTTCATACTCCTTATACATTAAGGTTTTTTACGTTATGTTGACAAGATAAACAATAAACATCATCAAGTGTTGTTGATCTTGTTTATCTTGTCAACATACCAGTTTCCTTCTCTTACAGAAGATATAAAACGATCCCTGTCCTTAGTCATAGAGCACCGTCAGTTCAGCTTTCGATTATGTACTACTCAACTTTTGCTAAGCACCATAAGTTAAATATTATATTATCACAAGTATAAAACAGATTTTATTTCCAATTTTTGAAAATTCTGATGTAGCCAATGCTTTGAGATAGTCCCCTGGCATGAATCGGTGTTGACTAATCGTTGCACATCGTCTAACATGGAAAGCATGCATCCCAATATTTTCCTGTTTTTGATCGGGTGTACAATCACATGTGACGTCTTTTGCTATATTGCGACTACCGGCTTATTGGTGTACACCACACCGTCTGGGAGATATAATGGCTATATGGTACGCCCGCCAGGAGGATGCTGGAGATAGGAAAAGGGCCACACGCCAGCTCAGCATCGGCCTTTGGTAGTTAAGGCACGTCGTGCAAGGTTTTCGACAGCAACTTCTCTTCGAAATTACCTTGCTAATGCTTCAGGGTCCGTTTTGTCACGCAGACGGTACGTAGAAGGCAGCATGATGCTAATTTGATATCGAAAACACCTTGCATACGTATCCTCATGACGCGTTTACATCGCCAGACCCGTTTGTAATGGACCATGGAGCATACACGGTTGACCATGCAACACTGGAGACACGTTCTTTTCACTGATGAGTCAAGGTTCTGCCTAGACTTCACAGATAGGCATGATCGACACTGGAGAAGACGAGGTGAACGGTTGCAGGATGACTGCTACGGAGGTGGGTCAGTTTTGGTGTGGGAAGGCATCAGCTGGGATGGATGAACCGACCTGGTTGTGCTAAGTAGAGGCACATTGGCAGTTCAGCGATACATAGACGGCATGTTAGACAATCAGGTTAGGTTGTATGCTAGTGCAGTCGGCGATCAGTTCATTCTAATTGATAATAATGCTCGCCCCATAGCGCCAGGATGGCCCAGGACTTCCTAGAGAGAAAGTCTATTGATCGCATGGACTGACCAGCTCGCTCACCTGATTTTAATCCAATAGAACACATGTGGAATCAGCTGCAGGTTAGAACTTCATCTCGTCAGCTGCAACCAATAACTATCCAGGACCTTGGAGCCATATAGGTCCAAGAATGGGCAGCCATATCCGTTAAAACGATCAGAAATCTAATAGGGTGTTTGAGAAGCCGCTGTTAAGCTGTCAGTGATAGTCACGATTCACAAGAAAACAAGAAAAAAAAAAATTTGAAAAATACGCTGCATGTTCTAAAATCTTTAAAAAGGGGATCCTTTTCCCTAGCACAAAATCAGAGTAAGACTCATTTATATGGTTAAATTCGTTCTTCAGCTGAATTGATAAAACATTAAATCAACATTAAATAACTTTCTCACGGCGTTAATAAAATTATCCCAAAACATATTCACACTCAAACATATGGTGCTTAGCAAAAGTTGAGTACATGTAGTATATCTAGCAAAAAAAGTTGAGAAAATATGTTATTTTTTGTTGAGAAAGAATTGTAGTCAAATTGTTATAAGTTTGTTGAAAATGCATAATGTCACTGAAGATCTTCCACGGCAGAATTTCCTTTTTTTGTTCTAGAGGGAGACGAGAAAATTCTTTGTTATTAAGAAAATCAATTATATAGAAATTTGAGGACTTGATAATGATACATGATTATCTTACTTAAACCAAATGACATTCAGATTTTATTGTGAAATAAGTAATAATTGGACTATGCAGTGCATTAAGGTCACCATGATAAGTATCAAATTGTCATCAAAAATTGTCCATGGTCATTTGCAAGAATGTCATTGATAACATTTGATAGAACTATACTTTAATTTAAACTATGAAATTCAATGGTAGATTCAATCATTGCTATGGAAAGTTAATTCCTGCTGGTGAAATTTACAGTTTGCTATGCAAAGCCAATGGCTGTTTTAAAGTAACTGGTTGCTATGAAAACTAAGCTTAAGAGGTCTAAGCTTTAACTCTTTGGCCTTTTTCATTTTGTTTTACCTATAAACATATAAGGAAAATCAAGGAGCCAATAGGGGGGCAGTTTTGACCCTAGGGCTTTTATTTGATGAAATTTGGTAGACATCCAGTAGAGATATTTCATTCTAAATATCTTCTAAACTTTAGGTCTTTTGGTTTTTTTAAAAAAGAAGATTTGTTTTCTATATGCATATCAAGAAAATAAATGACTACCTTGGGTGGGGCAAATTTTGACCTTGGAAGCGATTTTATTTGAATTAACTTAGTAGACAGCCACTAGGAAAAGTTTCATGCTAAATATCTAAGTTTTAGCTCTTTGTTTTTTTAAGAAGAATTTTAAAGTTTTTTCTTTCCGTTCTCATAGTAACCAGTTCAGCATGGAGTTCAATTTTTTGAGCAATATTTAAAAGGTGACCGCCCAAGGAACACACCTGGAAAGTTTAAATGAAATTGGCTTAGGGGTTTAAGAGGAGGTGTCGTTTAAAGTAAAAGTTTACGTACGGACGGACTGACGGACGACTTGCCCTCACAAATTGTAATCATGTCACTTTGTGATAGGTGAGCAAACTATGCATCGAACAAAAACAAATGCATCAAACAAAATCATTAAAAATATTCATAAAAATAGGTTACTATCACTTCAAATTACTGATACATTAACAACTTACAGATGAAAGAAATATAATATTGTAATATTATTTATCATAGCACGTATAGTTTGAACATGATCATCAAGCACAGTCCATAAAAAAATGATCTCAGGTAAACAATGGTAAACTGCAAGTGATTAACCAAATACTTACTTTAAAAAATATACAAATTATACTTAATGAGATATCATCTTCGTTTGACACTATAGCACAATATTTAGCGCTTATTGATATGACAGTGAATTAAGCTAGTGAGTTCGAAACTTTGTGGAAATTGTTTCATTTTATTTCTTTTTTTAAATTACATACTGTCTGACAAAATAAATACATGATTACGCATATGAACTGAAAGATATTGTATTTTCGTTTCTCTTAAAATGTCTGCCTCTGTCTGGAATAGGTTCTTTTTGAACTTAGTGTTTACCGATTGAGCTTTTGCGACGTTTATTACTTACTTTTACAATTATCAGTCAAACGTACAATCACTTAGATGTGCAACAGTTGACTTAGTACCTATATAGTATTTATATGGACTGTTCCGCACTATAAATAAATATGAAGAAACATCTGTTTATCGTGCTCGGATTATAATACACATGCATAGAAACCTGAGTAATCTTAGGTAAGAGCACAAACTATTTTAGTGTTAATTAACTGTTTCCTGTTGTTGCGCAAGAATTGCTTATGAGAAAAACAAATATCGTTAATATGATTTTAAATGAACTAAAGAATATACTTTAAACCACAAAAATGTATCAAAATCATTTTTAGTTTCAATCACATCAAATCTCTGACATATTAAAAGCTTACAGATGAAAGAAACTGCAATATTATTTATTTTGGCTTGTATGGATGGTACCTGTGCAATCTAGGTAAGAGAACAAACTATTTAAATGTTAATTAACTGTTTCCTGTTAATGCAAAAGAATTGCCAATGAGAAAAATAAACAAAATAATTGATGCCAGATTTGTTACATATTGAACGATCCTGTCTATTTCTGAAACT